ACACTTAAACGTTACATGCGACCTTTTACTTTTCTATTCTTGTTTGAAATAAATTATTATCTCTAAAAATGACGTGGTAGAGAAAAAATATGTTTCGTAAAAGGCTGATTTTTAGTAGTACGAGAAGCAAAAATAACAATAGTACCTAGATCTAATTTTAGTCTAAAGTCAAATCGTAGACTCGTAGTTGTACTTTAATTGTTACAACTCCATCTTATTTTATATATATATATATATATATATATATATTAAAACTTGTGGCACGATCACTCTTGAATTCAGTTTACATCACCAGTTGAAAGCATTATCTAAGGACGTCCTTTAAATAACATGAGAGGAATCCATAATATTCTTGGGAATTTAGGAATCTATATAAAATAAGCAAGATCTCATAATAAGCCTTTCTAGGTATATTAGATGCCACTGAATCGGTCCAAGAAAAATATCTCTTTATAGCGGTAGCGATCTATCGTCTTGACTTGAGACAGAACCAAATGATAATGAGTGTCAACAGTCTATAATTAGGGGTGTTCATAAAAATCCGAAAAAACGAACCAAACCAAACCGACCAAAAAAATTGATATTTTTTTGTTTGGTTTGGTTTTGGTTTTGAATTTTAAAAACCGATCAAATTTGATTTGGTTTTGGTTTTAATCTGAAAAACCCGAACCAAACCGACTATAGGAGTAGCTATTTCAAATTTATTATTACACCTATATATATGTATGTTGTTATACAAAGTTTCAAAAAATTTATGGTAAATGTTAATAGTTTGCACTTTTAATATAGTTCTTTACCTTTACATTCTAATTTGATTGGTAGTTTTCTTTTGTTTAGTGTAAGAATCCATTTCGTGTTAAAAATAACATATTTTTAATTAGGTCCTTAAATTATTCATCACTATTGATTCAATTATCATCAATATATCTTGGTAAATAATAGATTTCTCAAAGGGCAATTGATTTGATAGTGTTACATTGGAAATGTGGTCGCCGAAATATGTGTTTGGTAGTGTATCTCTTATATTTAAGAAAAAAACGATAAATAACCGAAAAAACCGAAAAACCGACATAAACCGAATCGAGAAAAACCGACTTAATTGGTTTGGTTTGGTTCTAATATTTAAAAAACCGACTTACTTGGTTTGGTTTCTTTTTAGAGAAAAACCGATCCAAACCGAACCATGAACACCCCTATCTATAATGATGTCTTGTAGGGTTGTACATAGACAGAGTTTAGAGCTGTCAAAAAGGGCTAGCCCAGTCCAATCCAGCCCAAGCCTCGTGGGCTTTTAAATTTGGGAGTTAGGACGGGCCGGCCCTCCATCTATATGGGCCTTAAAATTGCCAGCCCAGCCCAGCCCTAAGAGGGTCGCGGGCTAAGGCGGGTCGGCCCTTTAATTTGTTTAGAAAAAAAATATTTCTCCAAATATTTACATATTTTTTCGTGATATAATCTCTTGATCATATGAACGACTTCTGTTTATTTAGAGTGTACAAGAATCTTGATATTTGACAAGGAATCTCGTAATTGAAATACAAATTCTCTACATCTCTAGCTCTTCTTTTTTTAACGTTACATGAATATTTTTTAGCACTTTTCTTTCACTTTCCTTAGGCTCAGGAATTGCTTCAATAAGTATATATGTTAAGGGTTTTTATTTTAGGTTTAACATTATTTGTCGATTTCATCATTATAGCCATGAAATTTTTAAAATTCATGATATTTGCTAGTATTGTCAATTTTTTTGGGTATTAAAACTTGACCTTTTTCTATACTGAAGAGCGATTTAATAATTAATAATATATTAAAGTAACCAAACTGATCATTGTCACTTAAAATAATATTTTCTTTTGAAAAAAATATTATTGGCCACTTAAAACTTTCCTAGTTCGTTGTTAATTAAGCAAAAGAAAAATTAATCTTGTCATACTACATGCATATCTAAAATATAAATTCTAGTTGACATGAAAGGGTAAATGAGCAATCTAAGGTTGAAAAATGGGGATTATAGTTAATACATTTTTTTATTTTTTTATTTTTTTAAATATTTAAATTTGAATATAATTTTGACCCACGGGCCGGTCCAAGCCCAGCCTCGATCAAGCCTCAAGAGTCAGCGGGCTGACTTGGGCCGGGCTTATAAGCCTCGATTCTAAATCGGCTAAAAAAATCCCAACCCAGCCCTACCCAAGTAGCGGGTTGGGTTGGGCTGGCTTCACGGGCCAAGCCCATTTTGACGGCTCTAACCGGGTTGATTCGCTTTTTATCAAAGCCAAACTAAAACAACTATTTCGGTTTGGATTGGTTCGATTTTGTCGATTTTTCCAGATTTTTTAGAGTTTTTTTAGATGAATATTATTTCAATCTTACTTGGTTAAAGCTATAAATAAAGTTTGATAAGTGAATATGTTTAGTAAAAATTGAAAAAACTGACAAATATATGATCCATTAAAATATTCTTGTGGGAGAATTTTTTTAGTAACACATGATAGTTATTTTAGTCATCTAACAATAATTTTTTTTGATGTACGCTTTCAAGATTAATCGCATTTTTCGTTGATTTAACTTTTCGATTTGGTGCAATTATATATAACGTTCTTTAATCACCACTTGAAAGGGGAAGACCCTCTTCTCCTTCTGCCTGTGACATATTTGTTTTTCTAGTTCTTCTTTGGGTTCCCCTATATATCGATGTGTGTATGCTTTCGTCGAGAGAACCACAAGAAATTTTCATAAACCTAGATTTAATTCCATCGATTTAACTGTTTTCGACAGGGAAAAAAATCATAAATGAAAAAGAAGAAGGTATACAGTTAATTAGTATGAATTAACTTTAAGAAAACTATTACTACTATATATGTATCCACGAAATAATGGAAAAAGTAAAGGAAATATCTCCCGCGTGAAGACTTGTTAGGATTTACTAACTTTTCTATAAACATTAATTAAACGTGGGAATTTCCAGACAATGCTATAGCTACTGATTATTCATATTTCATTACAAAAGTCTTCCTAGCACTCGGACAATGCAAATTTCAATCTCTACTAGTGCTTCTTCACTATACAGACAGCTAGCTTTAGGCCTAGCACTAAAAAAAGGTGTAATTGATTAGTTCTAACATATCCTTATCCAAAAGGAATGGGCCAGTATCCATCGATCTGGTGGATCTACTTTTTAGTCCAATTAATACAAATAGGGACATAATTCCACAAGAATGATACTCCCTAACAATAAGTGACCAATTTGTTTTTTTTTATTTTGGTTTAAAATAAGTGTTTATTTATATAATCAAGAAAAAATTCAATTTGTTTTTTCAAAATTACCCTTATGTACGTATCCCTAAAAAGTCATTTACTCCTCATATTTGAGAAAAGAAGTAAATGTTACTATAACTATGCTACGACATTTAATTAAGGGTAATTTGATCACACCAACTATTTTTGTCTAGAATTTAGTATTTCTTTAATGGATGTTCACAAAGTAAATTGGTCACTTATTGTGGACCGAATGAAGTAGCATATTAACCATTACCTATTATCTTGGAAAACTCCAAGGACACTTATAGCCTGTTTGGCCAAGCTTATTTTTGGGCCAAAAGTGCTTTTTTTGGCCAAAAGCACTTTTGGCAAAAAATTGAGGTGTTTGGCCAAGCTTTTGGAAGGAAAAGAAGTGCTTTTGAGGAGAAACAAAAGTAGTTTTGGAGAAGCAGAAAAAAGTAGCTTCTCTCCAAAACCACTTTTCTGAGAAGCACTTTTGAGAAAAATACACTTAGAAGCAGTTTTCAAAAGCTTGGTCAAACACTAATTACTGCTCAAAAGTGTTTTTCAAATTAATTAGCCAAACACAAACTACTTCTCACCAAAAGCACTTTTTTAAAAAGTACTTTTGAAAAAAACACTTTTCAAAATAAGCTGATTTTAGAAGCTTGGCCAAACGGGCTATTAGCTTGTTGAAAGTGGAGGCCTTTCAGATCCCCAGAAGACGTTATTTGAAATTCTCTACTTGTACACCTAGACAACGTATATAAAGTTTAACTATTACCATATTTTCTCACTTAGTGAATTATTGTAGAGGTTTTGGCCAAATCCTCTCTGCATTTTGTAAGTGCAATAGATAGTCATAGGTTATGGCTTAGATTGGTAATCTCCATTGTACTGTTGCAAGAAAAATCTGCTTAACGTCGGTCCAAATGGTCAAACCTACTTCACAATGCAGTAACAAGACACATATTCATGCGCCCCTACCAACTCTTAAAAGGGATAAAACACAAATAGTTGGCCGGATTCACATTTTATTTTTTCTAGCTGATATACATAGTTATACATATATATATTTGTGTATATCGACTATTTTTAGTTTAATCAGTTGGATAACGCCTTTTTGAACGTAGTGTGGAAGAAACATATTGGATAAGTACCCATATAGCCTCACAATTATGTTTCGTTGGGCTAGGCTTGTGTGGGCTGGGCTAGGCTTTGCTAGGCCAGCCTACATTGACAACTCTATCAGCTAACTCTCGTGGAAAATGGATAGAGTGAATGAGTTGAGGCGTGGAAACTTTTTTTTTTGGTTTCCCACCCGGTGTCCGGTACCTGCATTGGAGCCCGACTATATCCGGATTCGCGCCGCGTAGGGCCCCATTCGGGGGGAAGCGCTCCCTACCAAGGATTTTTCCATACTCAGGGCTCGAACCCGATCCACTGCACCACATCCTTTGGTGATAAAGAATAGGCGTGGATCCTTAGAAACAATGAGGAAATGCTTAAATTGGAGAAGGATGAGGAATTTCTTGTGTATGCATCTCCAAATCCTGGTGTCCAATATGCCCCTTGAATTTGTTCAATTTTATTGGATGTCCTCAAATTGAAGTACTAAGGATTGGTTTGGTTAAGATGTTAGTTATGCGGGATTATAATAAAGAGAGATTGTTTGTGTAATGAATAAGAATGAAGGGATCATTATATGGTGATTAATAAGTAGAAATTATTGTGCATAATTAATAATGAAGGAATTGTTACGAATGGTTTACTTACTTTGCAGGCATTTTTGTCTTTACAATACTTTTACCACGTATCTCTAAACACATGATTCTTATAAGACATTCTATCTCACATAACATAACTTCTCGCGAAACTTAATATGGGTTTTAAATGAAAAACCATACTAACTTAAGCCTGAATTGCCCTTAATGAAAGTTAACTTCAACAACTTAAGTAAAATCAAAATCGTCTACAGACTAAAGATAAAACCAAATTTGTAGAACTTTTTCCCTCAGCTGCCAGACCTGTCGTCTAGCTCGAATTTCTTGCAGACTGCAATGAGAAAAGATAATATCAGCCATGAGGAAGAACCTGTTGATATTTTGCTTAATATAAGTGCTTCATATAACAAAAGGAAATGTATTAAGCTTACAAGTAGTTCATGATCTCCCATAATCTCATCAATTAACTCTTGTAATGGCTTGTCCGCGCTGTTTTCAACTAGAGCAGCAAATACGGGATCTTCAAGCCCTGTGCGGAATCAGGAGTATGACCAGAGGCCAATGGAGCTATTATTTTCGACACAACACATATCTATATATGTGAAAACCACTAAATTTTCAATACATATTAAATTCCGAACCCATAATTCCAAAAGTACAACGAGTTTAGTGCTAAAGAACGTCAAAAAGTTGAACCCCTTAAGTTTAAAACCTAGATTTGCCTCTGAGCATGTACAAGATCATTTCAGAGGCGACATTAAACTTAAAAAGAAGTTCATAAATATATGATGAAAAGTCGATCTTATATTGTATCAGTTGAATGCTGTAAGCCTGTAACTGTCATTGCTACGGCAAGAAGATTACCATATATCAAAAGATCTAAATTTGCAAGATGTAGTGTAAAACGTTATGCCTTTGCAGATTAGCATGTTGTGCGTTCAAGTAGCAACCAAGAGAGATCCTTCCACTCGTGTTTTCGTAATAAATTTTTTACGATAATCTGATACTCCACCTAGATTTCAAGATAATGCTGTATTGAGGCCGTAAATTGTTTAGAAATACTTGATTTTCCTTTTCACACATTTTTAAGACAACTGGCGCAGAGTTCTTTCCTGCGGGCAGAAGTTTCCTTTGTTTTTAAACGAGTTTTTTTTGTCAATTTTAAGATCTCGGCTGTGAATGCAGAAAGAAACTATTTACCACTTTCTTCGAATGCGTCAATAAACATCATCATCTCCTCTCCCGTAAGGCCAGACAGGAAGCAAATTCGTGGAAGCTGTTTAGCGATCTGCATAAATGATACCTCCTCATTAGAGTAACGATGAGTCTGTTGCTTAGACATGCAATTTCCGTTTCTTATGACAGTTTATTAACTCAGGAGAAGGCACGGATAAGCATATACTAAAACAACAACAGCACGACAATTACATGATAGTTGGGGCCGGCTATATGAATACTCAATATCCTATGTCGCTCCATTTGGAGCTGCTTCATTTTGATACTCAATAGTCTGTGGTTCTTAAACAGAGGGGTCTCGACGTTTTCTACTGACATACAAATCCAATGGTAACCTAGTGCAATGATCAGTATTAAGGTCAGTAATCTTTCAGTTTGAAACACTGCTTGTTGGATTAACTGAATTGCTAGACTACAATATCTCGATATTATTTACAAAATCTCCAAGATTTTAAGCAATCATAAAACTATTTTTTATATACTACACAAGTTAAATGTTTAATAAATAACATATACAATCAGACATCTCTATAACAACATCCCTATATAACAACACTTCACTATAAAAACCAAGCTTTTCTGGAACTAATTTTCATGTTATGTTATAATATATATTCTCTATAACAGCACTTCGCTATAACATCCAAAAATATTCGAAACAAACGAGGCTGTTATAGAGAGGTTTGACTGTTAAAGGAAAACTTAAGGTGCTGTTGCTCCTAGACTGAGCATGTAAAACTAAGTTATTGTACTTTAATACATAGGGATTTTATTGTACTATTTGGGACGCTTACATGAGTTAGTGAAGAAAAACGAGCCAGAACACGCATTCCTTCAGACCTAGGGTCAGGAAGGAAAAATGCTGATATATACTCATAAGAGGCTCTAGCCTATTTCCACAGACCAAGGAGGCGGTAATATGCTTTTTTAACTTTAAAAAGTAACAAAAATTAAGCAGCATATTCACATGTTCTGCTGAACAAAATTAGGGCTTAGGTTTCGAATCATAATGTTAGCAAGCTGTATCTTCTGTTTACTATTATTCTTGGTAACCGAGAAATCCGCTGTTTGCAAGTTTCGAAACTCAGTGTATAATAGACCCGTCTTGTACCTGTCTCCACTTAAATACTATGATTGGTTCACCAGCCAGGACTCGAACTCGTGACATGTGCTTACCATACATCATGCGCTTTGCTACCTTTGCTGTTGAACCGAATCCCTGGGGGCTCTTCAGTTTACTAATTTTTTCTTCTACATACTGAAAAATGTTTGTTTCTCGAAAAACTCAAGCTCACAGCACAGCCAAACACTAGTGATATTCATCTATGATCATGTCAACGGTGGGTGCATGCAATCGTATGTGCCATTATATATAGTACTACATATAAGAAGATAATTTCATATCTCAACAGCCTTGTGAGTGCAGAAGCACAAAGATGTGTGAAAGAATTCAGTTATCTGACCTTTGAAGCATCCAAATTGGGCTGTTTTGTATTCATTGCTTCCCAAAGTGAGCGAGAAATCATGTCTTCAGTACAAAAAATGACCTGCAGCATATGTGTTTATTAAATGTAACTTCGAATTGAAATGCACAATACCATCATCTACATGAATTTTCCAGTTAAACAAAAAGAAATGCATTAAGAGCAATGAGATGTCCAGTGAAGTTTACCTGGAGGAATTCACCATCCATCTCCTTCAGAAGTTGCTGTATCTGTGACAAGATAAGCGTATCAGGATCAGTTAGGGATGCTAAGGAATATCTATGACGTGATTTCTAATTACTATGTTCTGAGTTTTTTTTCTAACAAGCATGCTGCACTGACCCCAAAGTTACTAGCGTTAAGAGGGAATCTAAGGAAGATCTAGAAGGAAAAAGCAGTTGGGAAGAGTGAGCAAATAAATTCTTCAGCATATGAAAAAGAAAATGTAGTTCATTCTCCTCGTCAGAAAGGGATATCAAATGAAAAATAATACAGACACTATATGAATATACAGTCGTCCACGTGTTAAAGTTTATAAGAATTGAAATTACCTTTGCTGCCTCGTCCACTTCAAATCCCAGCAACAACAAAGCCTGTGTAATTGGTCATCCACGAGGTGTTGATTTAACATTAAAAAATGAGCAAAGTAATACCAGAAAATCACCAAATATGTTCTAATCTTTCTAGAAATGTTTTAGCTTGAAAGGATAATATTTGAAGGCCATCCAAAAATCGGCATCAAGTATTGACTCTTATACAACATTGTATACAATCATTAAAGCAAAATATCCTTCCCTTTGACGTAACTTTTCAACTAGATCAAAAATAAATTTTAATACATCTTAGAAGACACAGAAAACTCAAAAATTTCAGAATATGGATCAGGAATGCTGTGAAATTTGAATTCTGAAAGCTGATTTCAACATTTCAAAATGAAAATATTATACACATTGTCTCTTCTATGTCCATGTTTGTGTCAATAACAAAATGATAAAATACACATAGAAATGCTACTGTAAGATAACTAACCAGAACTTACAGGTGGACCGTATTTTGGATACTCAGGATTTACAGAAACAAACTTAGAATCTTCATCAGTGATCTCAGAGGGAAGACCTGAAAAAGAGGGCATTGCGTTAGAACGAAATGGTGAACAGAAATTGCATGAACAACAAAACAGATGCCCAATAGGCAAAAGTGACTCAAATAAACAGTGGCTTCAAAACCCCATCTACGAAGTTAATGATAGGAAACAACATGAAGAAAGATAGAAACACATTTGAATACATGGATTGTCATAGCTAATTCTATTTAACCATAAATTCAGGATATAATGTGTAGATCTCTCTAGCTTTTGCACATTTAATTATAAGTTTTGCATCAAATCGCAACTCTAACAAGAGGTGGTATTAGATATAAAATTCCTCTCATACTGATAAACCTATTCTCTGTATCGAGGTGCCAATTATCAGCTGGAGTTAAATCAGAATTATATGAAACGTTCTTTAAAAAAAGTATACATTTTGAAACTCTAAGAAAAGTACATGTTGTTGTTCTTCCCTTTTTCCAAATGACTGGATTGTGTGAAAAGGTAAGTAAAAATTGTTTGGTTGACTCTCCGGAAGCAAAAATAAGAGAACCATTTGGAATAAAAAGATCTTTTTTTAACTAGAATGCTGGTTCTACCCCTACCTTTAATGTCACAATCCTATATTCTCGAACATCAGGCCTCCTATTGTAATATACCAATCATATGGAAATCAAGCGGAACTTCACTTCCTGATATAATGTGAAAGTCGTCAACTCTATTACCATTGTAATCATAACGACTATCTAGTATTTCACACTTGGCATTTACTACACCTAAACTAGGATGTTTCAGATGTTACATTAAACATGTGAACAAAATCTTCATTAAAAACAATTAAATCTAGTATGTCGTATCAGTAGCAATTTGAAACCGTTTGTACTTCTAATAAAAGGAGTTGATCATGGACTATTGGTAAGTCTGAATTGCTTCTTTTACAGATCACTAACAGCAGCCAAGGACGGAGCTAGAGTTTAGGTTACGGGTTAGGCCGACACAGTAGTTTTGATCCAAATCCTGCATTTGTCTATTGCATATGTACAAATTATTAATTTAGAACCAAATAACTTTAAAAAACCAGAATCTTGAACTTGTAAGCTTCAATCCTGCCTCCGCCTCTATGGCCGCATTAAACAAGAAGTTTGAGCACATTATTGAAGGTAGTTGGAGATAATTAAAGGTAAAAGTGGAACTTTGTATAGTGTGGAACAGCTAGTTAAAGAAATAGCATATAAAGATAACATAAACAGATTAGTTTAAATTGCTAGACACTATTAGATTTCAAAACATTTTACTCCGCTATCCTATTTTACATGACACTATATATATATATATATATATATATATATATATATATATATATACTATTTAGGGAATCAAGCTTTTTCCTTTACTATAATTGTTTCAAATGTTTCCTATAATATGTAGTTGAAGAGTACCACGTCGGTGCTTTAAGGGATGGGTGGTCTCCTTAATATGGCTTGGGCACATCTCATGAGCTAGCTTGTGGGGTTGAGTTATACCCAAGGTCCATTTAACATCCCAATTCTTGTTTTCCGATGTTGGGCGCCCATATTAATTGTCCACACACCAGATGTCCAGCCCTGGGCGTGCAGGGGGTGTGAAGAGTCCCACATCTGTGCTTTAAGGGATGGATGATCTCTTTAATATCGCTTGGACAATGCTCGAGCTAGCTTTCGGGGTTGAGTTAGACCCAAGTTCCATTTATTAGTTGTACGTTTTATGTAGTTTCCAAATAAGAAAATTTATCTCCAAAAGGTGTTGAAGCCATGTCCAAATTGAGACCAAAAATGAGATTTTCTGACCCTCCTAATCCTAACCCCATCATTCTTTATCTTATGAAGCCACAATCTTGCACTCTTAAAAATAAAAAACCAAATAAATATCAATTCTTTAACCAAAATACAAACTCAATCTCTCAAGTGGGAAAACAAAAGTGGTAACTTTCATATGAACAAGAGAACAAGAATTTAGATGCAAAAATGAAGAAGGAGAAAGACAACATAAAAGTAGACTTACCATCAGAAGCTGCTGCTATGGGAAAGTGTTGCTTAAGCCTCAAATGGTGGCCATTTTGGTCGGAGAAAAAACCTGTTATATGTGAATTCTTGATATAATTTGATATAATTGGTCGCTTATTACAGTTCAATCTACAGAAGAAGTTTCCATAGGTTAAGCTGATTGAAGAAGATGCCATCACTTATCTCTTCTGCCCTCTATATTTCTCTATCTATTTATTTACAGCTAAGTAGTAGTGCTGTTTACCGTTAAGAGCGTTATCTGTTTGCTGTTCTCTTTTTATTTTTTTTAATTTTATGACTGTTCTTTTTAAGTTTTGTGTCACACACAATTGTAAAATCTTTTTTCTGTTTCCCACCCGGCGTCTGATATCTTCGTTGGAGCCCGACTAAATATGGATTAGCGCCGGAAATATCCTAATTGGAGGCAAAGTGTTTCCTAATAAAGGCAACTCCATATTCAGGGCTCGAACCCGAAACCTCTGGTGAAGAATGAAAGAGTACTTATCATTCTACCACAACCCTTATTGATCAAAATTGTAAAATCTCTTTTTCTCTTTATAGTGAAAATTCCAATTTACAATTTCAAATAAATTGTTTGTTTTTTTGGCTCAACATAGTATAATGGCTTTTTTGACTAACCATTTTATTTAATCCTTTTTTTTTTCTTTTTTGGCTTACTCTTCTCATTTTCTAAGAATTTATTTCTAAAATAGAAGTTAAACATTACTCCCTCCGGTTCACAATAAGTGTCCAATTTACTTTTTTATTTTGGTTCAAAATAAGTGTCCAGTTATGTAATCAAGAAAAATTCAATTTGTTTTTACAAAATAACCCCTATGTACATATCCCTAAAAAGTTTTCTTACTCCTCACATTAAATGTTTAATTAGGGGTAGTTTAGTCATAGTAGGTATTTTTGTGTAGAATTTAGTATTTTCTTAATGGGCGTGTTAAAAGTAAATTGGCCACTTATTGTGAACCGGAGAGAGTATCAATTTGTATTTTCTACTTCTACCATAAATATTATTTTGAGAAGTATTTTCTACATATTTATCAATATTTAAACATTTATATTTTAGGAAGTATTGCCTATAAGTGGCATATAAGTTAGACAAATTATTTTTAGGAAGTATTAATGAGAAAATAATAAAAGTAGTCCCTTATATTTTAGAGTATGTTTGAAATAGTCCTTAAATATACTCCTAGACCAGTTATGGTCTATTAAGTTCGCCAAACGTGAGTACTTTTGATCTTCTTCATATATTTAAAAAAAACTTTATTAGATTCATCGACAATTATGGAAAAAGTAAGAATAACAAAAATTCAAATTTAGAGGTGTAAATTTTTGCAGTTTCTGCTATTCTTCTTTTTATCTATTTCTGTTTTTTAGTTTATTTTTTAAGATGTAATTTCTGCTATTTTTGTGAATTTCTTATGTTAGTTTTCCGTGTTGCAGTTTCTCAAAATTCACTTGACTTTTCTGACTTTTACGGTTAAATATTTTTTTTTCTCACAGTTTCTATTAAATATAAGGCTAGAGTTTGTTAAATATTTGGATGATGCTATAAAATAACGACTATAAAGTAAATAAACTGAAGACAAGTATAGAGAGAAACTGATATATTATTTAACTTGAAACGTATGTGCATAATAAACTGAAATCTCCTCTATTTATGGAAGAAAGCAAGATGCTACTGTAAGCTGCTATTGTACCAGATATAGATAATCTTCAATTGGGGGTAATGTTTATCCATAACGAAGTACCGAAAGGATAAGCTTATTGTACCAGGTATGGATAATCTTCTATCAAGAGTAATGTTTATCCATAACGGAGTATCGAAAGGATAAGCTTATTGTACCCGGTATGGATAATCTTCTACCGGGGGTAATATTTATCCATAGCCGAGTATCGAAGTGATAAGCTTCTTCAGGAGGCTTATTTCCAATAGAGTACTAAATAGATATACATATTTACGGCGGAGTCCCATATGGATAAACTTCTTCAGGAAGCTTATTTACAACAAGAGTACTAAATGAATATCCATAATATAATATATTTATAACACTCCCCCTTGGATGTTCATTAAAAGATAATGTGCCTCATTAAAACCTTACTAGGGAAAATCCCGTGGGTAAAAATTCTAGTGAAGGAAAAAGAGTACATATATTTAGCAATACGCATTGCTAGGTGCCTCATTAAAAACCTTATAAGGAAAACCTTGTGGGGGAAAACCTTAGTAAGGAAAAAAGAGTGCATCGCGTATTTTACTCCCCCTGATGAAAACCTTGTTTCAAATATTTGAGTTTCCGTATTCCAATCTTGTATACCATCTTCTCAAAAGTTGAAGTTGGCAAAGATTTGGTGAATAAATCTGCCGAATTGTCACTTGAACGGATTTGTTGCACATCAATGTCACCATTTTTCTGAAGATCGTGTGTGTAGAATAATTTTGAAATATGTTTCGTTCTATCTTCTTTTATAAATCTCCCCTTCAATTGGGCTATGCATGCAGCATTGTCTTCGTATAAAATTGTGGGTCTTTTCTCACATTCCAAACCACATCTTTCTTGAATAAAATGAGTTATTGATCTCAACCATACGCATTCCCTACTTGCTTCATGAATAGCTATTATCTCAACATGATTTGAAGAAGTAGCAACAATAGATTGCTTTGTGGAGCGTCATGATGTGACAGTACCTCCATATGTAAATATGTACCCGGTTTGAGATCGAGCTTTATGGGGATCAGATAAATAACATGCATCTGCATAACCAACAAGATCTGCACTATCTTTGTTAGCATAAAACAAACTCATATCAAGAGTTCCCTTTAAATATCGCAATATGCTTAATCCTGTTCCAATGTCTCTGTGTAGGAGAAGAACTATATCTTGCTAGTAAATTAACAGAAAATACTATGTCATGCCTTGTAGCATTAGCAAGATACATTAGTGCACCAATTGCACTGAGATAGGGTATTTCGGGACCAAGGAGTTCCTCATCCTCTTCTGGAGGTCGGAACAAATCCTTATTCATTTCAAGTGATCGAACAACCATTGGTGTACTCAATGGGTGCGCTTTGTCCATGTAAAAGCGTTTTAAGACCCTTTCTGTATAGGCCGATTGATGGATAAAGATCTCGTCTGCTAAATGTTCAATTTGCAGACCAAGACAAAGTTTTGTCTTTCCAAGATCTTTCATCTCAAATTCTTTCTTAAGATATTCAATTGCCTTCTGGAGCTCTTCGGGAGTTCCAACAAGATTTATGTCATCAACATAAACAGCAAGTATAACAAATTCTTAAGCCATTTTCTTTATAAAAATACATGGACAAATAACATCATTTATATAACCTTCTTTCATCAAATATTCACTGAGGCGATTATACCACATGCGCCCAGATTGCTTTAGACCGTACAAAAATCTTTGTAATCTGATTGAGTACATTTTCCGAGATTTTGGATATGCTTCATGCATTTTAAATCCTTCAGGGATTTTCATGTAAATTTCATTATCAAGTGATTCGTACAGATAAGGTGTAACCACATCCATTAGATGTATTTCAAGCCTTTCACGTAAGGCAAAACTGATGAGATATCGAAATGTTACGGCATCCATAACAGGTGAATATGTTTCTTCATAATCGACTCCAGGTCGTTGTGAGAATCCTTGTGCGACAAGGCGAGCCTTGTATCTTTCAACTTCATTTTTATCATTCCTTTTTCGCACAAGAACCTACTTATGACCAACTGGCTTTATACCGGCAGGTGTTTGGACTACTGGTCCAAAGACCTCTCTTTTAGCAAGTGACTTCAATTCCGATTGAATTGCCTCTTGCCATTTTGGCCAATCCGATCTTTGTCGATATTCTTCGACAGATCGGGGTTCAAGATCCTCACTATCTTGCATAAACTGCAACATTATATACAAAAATAGTATCCACCACTATTTCAGATCGATTTAAATTAGTCCCATCTATAGTAGAACTTACTAAAAGTTCCTTACTCGCTTGAGCTTCAGGTTCATTGATTTCTTTAGGAATCTCAGAACTCATCAGATCTTGAGTCTCTTCAGGAAATCCCTTCATAGTATCATTTTGATCATTTGTCGATTTTCTTTATCGAGGATTTGATCCTTAGAACCCAAAGGCCTACCACGCTTCAGGCATGCTTTAGGTTCACTAGCTCTCATGCTAGTAGATGGTCCTACTGGGACATCAATTCGGATAGGTACATTCTCTGCAGGAATATGTGACTTAGTTATCCTTTTCAAATCAGCAAATGCATTTGTCATTTGATTTGTTATATTCTATAAATGGATGATCTTCTGGACCTCCTGATTACATATAGGGGGTACGTGGATCAAAGTGAGATAATGATGAAATTTTCCACACAATTTCTCTTTTGGTTTCCTTTTTCTCTCCCCCTAATTGTGGGAAAATTGTTTCATCAAACCGACAATCTGCAAATTGAGCAGTAAATAAATCTCTTGTCAATGGTTCAAGATAGCGAATAATAGAGGGTGATTCAAACCCAACATATATTCCTATCCTTCTCGGTGGTCCCATCTTACTGCGCTGTGGTGGTGCTAATGGCACATATACAGCACATCCAAAAATTCGTAGATGGGCAATATTTGGTTCATGACCAAAAACTAATTATGGCGGAGAATATTTATTATAATGTGTCGGTCTGAGACGGATAAGTGATGCTGCATGCAAGATAGCATGGCACCAAACAGTAGTGGGCAATTTTGTTTTCATAAGTAGTGGTCTTGATATCAATTGCAGGCGTTTGATAAATGACTCTGCAAGGCCATTTTGAGTATGAACATAAGCTACAGGATGTTCAACTTTTATCCCAACTGATAGACAATAATCATCAAAAGCTTGAGATGAGAATTCTCCAGCATTATCAAGGCGAATAGCCTTTATAGGATAATCTGAGAATTGTGCCCTTAATCGAATTATTTGGGCTAATAGCTTTGCAAACGCCAGGTTGCGAGATGATAGTAGGCACACATGAGACCATCTTGAAGATGCATCTATTAGGACCATAAAATATCTAAATAACCCACTTGGTGGGTGAAAAGGTCCACATATATTCCCATGTATATGCTCTAAAAAGGCAGGGGATTCATTGCCAACCTTCATTGGTGATGGTCTAGTGATCATTTTGCCTTGATAACAAGCATCAAAGTCGTCATTTGTAAGAATCTTCAGGTTCTTTAATGGATGCCCACTCAAATTTTCAGTAATTCGTCTCATCATTATTGATCCAGGATGGCCCAAACGGCCATGCCAAAGCACAAAAGTATTTGAATCCGTAAACTTCTGGTTTACGATAGAGTGTGCTTCAATTGTACTAATTTTTGAATAGTATAAGCCAGAAGACAAAGTTGGTAACTTTTCTACAATGCATTTCTGGCCAGCAATATTCTTTGTTATACAAAGATATTCCATGTTCATTTCATCTATTGTCTCAACATGTACCAATTTCGGCGGATATCTCTAAAACTCAACAAGTTTCTTTGGGACTTGGAGGAGAACAATGCATTGTCTATAATAAGTTTTGTTCCCTTGGAGAGAAATATAATTGCTCTTCCAGAGCCTTCAATCAAACTTATATTACCAGAAATTGTTGAAACATTTGCTTTTTCCTTATGCAAATAAGAAAAGTATTTCTGATCCTTGAATATGGCATGAGTTGTTCCACTATCAACAACACAAATATCTTCATGATTTGTCTTCGATCCAAACATAATTTGAGAATTATCCATATTCTTCAAAATGACATAAATAAAATATATTATAGTAAACATCATTATCAAAGCATAACTTTTATTTATGTACAACAATTACATAATCATACTATCTATTACAAACAACAAAAATTAAAATATTTATATTTCTACAAATTCACTACCGACTACATGACTTGTTTCTCCTTCTGGGAGTGCAAAGTAATCAGCTACATCCAAATGCATGAATTATAAATTATCTTCAGAAATAAAATTTGCTTCAGCATTTTCCTCTGTCTTCTTCAGGGAGGCTTGATAAAGCTCAACCAGGTGCTTTGGCGTACGGCAGGTACGTGACCAGTGCCATTTTCCTCCACATCTATAGCATGCATTTTCTGCATTTGGTGCTTGCACCACTTCATGCTTTTGTTCCTTCCTTTTCCACTGCTGGTGGTGAGGAGGGTTCTTTGGTGCATTATTATTACCATGATTAGAGTTTCTTCCCCGATCACAGTCATGACCACGACTGGGGCCACGACCTCGTCCACGTTTAGCTTGGTGAAAGTTCGTCTCATTCACTTTAGGGAATGGACAAGAACCAGTAGGTCGACTTTCATGGTTTTTCATTATTAGCCCATTATGTTGCTCGGCTATAAGAAGATGTGAGATAAGTTCAGAATAATTTTAAATCCCATCTCTCGATATTGCTGCTGCAGGAGCATATTCGAGGCGTGAAAAGTGGTGAAAGTTTTCTCCAACATATCTTGATCAGTAATATTATCACCACATAATTTCAAATGGGAAATAATTCTAAACATAGCAGAATTATACTCACTTATAGATTTAAAATCTTGTAGCCTTAGACGAGTCCAATCATAACGTGCCTGTGGAAGAACGACCATCTTCAGGTGGTCATATCTATCTTTCAAATTATTCCACAGTATGACTGGATCTTTAATATTGAGATATTCCATTTTCAGGCCCTCATCAAGGTGATGGCGTAAGAATATTATTGCTTTGGCACGGTCTTGGTTTGATGCCTGATTTTTATCCTTGATGGTGTTTGCCAGATCCATCGCATCAAGATGAATTTCAGCATCAAGCACCCAAGACATGTAGCTTTTGCCCGATATATCCAGATCTACAAATTCAAGTTTAGAAAGATTTGACATTATTTAGAAAAAGAAAGTTCGTACCTCAGATACTTTCAAAGTATTTGCTCGAGATGGCAGAGTCTCGTGCTAATAACATGTTATAAAATAACGATTATAAAGTAAATAAACTAAAGACAAGTATAGAGAGAAACTGATATATTATTCAACTTCAAACTTATGTACATAATAAACTGAAATCTCCTCTATTTATAGAAGAAAGCAAGTTGCTACTGTAAGTTGTTGTGTAAGCTCCTACTGTACCAGATATAGATAATCTTCAACTGGGGGTAATGTTTATCCACAACGAAGTACCGAAAGGATAAGCTTATTGTACCAGATATGGATAATCTTCTACCGGGAGTAATGTTTATCCATAACGGAGTATCGAAAGGATAAGCTTATTGTACCCGATATGGATAATCTTCTACCGGGGGTAATGTTTATCCATAACCGAGTATCGAAGTGATAAGCTTCTTCAGGAGGCTTATTTCCAAAAGAGTACTAAATAGATAAACATATTTACGGCGGAGTCCCATATGGATAAGCTTCTTCAAGAAGCTTATTTACAACGGAATACTAAATGAACATCCATAATATAATATATTTATAACATATGAGAGTTAAATATTCACTTTTGACAAACTTATCGGGCCAAAATATTTGAGGAGTATATTCGAGGGACTACTGTAATATAGTTTGGTTTATTATAAAATTTAAGATAAAATAATAAGACTTTTGAAACTTATGGTTTTACAAGCTTAAAGCATAAATTTTTTATTTATGGGCTATGATATTTATGTGGTCATAAAGCTTTTCGCTAAGAATAAAATTGAAAAAATAAAAAGTTTAAAGTAAAATTATATTTAAATAAAAGAATATATTATTATTTTTGAAACGGACTAATGAGTAAAGCGTGACGTAGAAATCGAAACGGAGGTAAAGTACCAGTTTTTATCATTTGTTCAAGTATTGCCTATAAATAAAAATCAAATTTTATGAGCTTTGGACAGTCAAACCACGCCCAAAAAGGTAATTTGGCTTTAATAGTGTTTGTTAAGGTTATCACTTACCTGAAGGTATAGACAAAATACTGATTCTCTATAAACTTGAAAAGGATAAATAAAATAATAAAACAAATGATGGGGAAATACAGAAATAAGCTGGAGAAAACATCAATTCAGCTCACAATCTGAAGACAAATGTTGATACTTCTTTTTTCTAGTTTGATCTGTAAGTCAAATACGGCATCTTCTTTCATAATACTGTACTACCTCTATGCAGATGTAAGGAAAAGGGAAACATTTAATTGTGTTAGCATTTTTAAAATTATATATTTTTATAGGCAAAATTAGCTAAAGATTTGATTTTGAGAATTGGGTTCTTGAATCTTGGTTGGTTAATACATTTATTGACTGAACTGTGTTTGAATATTTGGATTTTGGGGAATTTGAGGTTGATTGACTTTGCATGTAATGTTGTTTTTGCTCATTCATTTCCAATTTATAGTAATTTTTGCTTACTTAACATGTATTATAGAAAAGATTATGCACACGTATAGGAAATTTAAAGAAAAAATATAGTGGCATTGTATTAGGAGGTGCACTTCACTGTCTTTAAATCTTTTTTTTTTTGCCCGGTTTGGGGCCGACTAATTTGGATTCGCATTGTGAAGTGTATTTTGGAGGTAAAGGACTCCCTACGAAAGGCGATTTCACTCTTAGGGCTCGAATCTTTGGGGGTACTTACCGAGAGGCGAAGCTAGGAAATTTATGGGCTCTGAATTTACTACAGAACCCATAGCTCGTCTTAGTTAATGGGTTCATAATTAAATATTTATACATATTTAATAAATTTCCTAGTATAAATATAATGTTTAAGCAAAAGTAACTGGGTTCGGCCGAACTCGTACACTATAGGCTAGCTCCGCCTCTGTACTTACCCACCCACCACAACCGGAAACCTCTGTATTTGGTTTCCGGCATGTGACACTGTCTATCAACTTCAAGTTGGCTATCAGTGGAAATGACCAATGTTCGAGTAAGATGTTTAATGAAAAGGAGACAATGGATTGTGTCTCCTTTTTCTATCTTTTATTTTTCTTAAGAAAATCATGTGGGACCATTGACGTTTTCCTACCTTGCGAAACAAATTTGAGTCCAGTTAGTAAAATGGAGCCCAGTTCTTGTTTCCTAGATTGTTCACAAAATAAGGAATCATGAGAAGCTGCAATTTCATGTTGATGATTTTCTTAAGAGATGAATGATAATGGATTGAGTACAGATTATGTGGTTGCTTGGTAACATTAGCTACCAAGCATTACACCCCCTTGGGGTGCGGCCCTTCCACGGACCTTGCGTGAACGCGGGATACTGTGTGCACCGGGCTGCCCTTTTTTGGTAACATTAGCTAAATCCTTAAACAGTCCATATTATCACTTTGGGCCATCTTGATTGATTTTTATTATTCAAATAAAAAGTGTGAAAAAGTGAACTTCTTTACTCTCTTTCTTCTATGGTCAAAGAACCTTTTTTTATTGGAGATGTTGTAGTTGAGCTCTAAATGGTGCTCGGAACAAGAAGGCGACATGAAGGGTCACTTTCTGAAAAAATAAATTCCTGATAGGTATGATTAGAAAAGCAATCGCATCCCAGTTGCAGATCCGTTAGGTTGCCCATCTAACAAGAACTGTTCTCTAGTCCATAGCATTATCCTGTGTAGCCTCTGAGTAAGTTAACTTAAGAAAAGGAAAATATCCATAAGAATAAACTAAATCAGGTTTGTCTTTATTTTACATATGATAATAAAAGCATTAGACTTGTTTCCCATATTCATTTGTTCGAAATGAATCCAGTGGACCTTAGATGCCGGTTGAGCAAGCAGTGGCAATGATTCTGAAATAAATACAGTTTTTATTATCATTTAACTTGTCATAGAGTCCATAAATGCAGCTCAAAAAGAACTTCACAGAAATTTACTTCTCCTGCCTAGAAAAATATTACTTTTAATGTGTTACATTTATTGCCTATTGCTGGTTAGACAAAAAATATCGGCCTCCTATCTGGTTTGTGGTAGAACAAACGCATGACACTTGAACCAATATATACAAATATCTCAATGACAGATAGAATCATAAAAATAGCAAATCCAGTGACATAAGCTAAGATTGCGAGGAAAGATTATAATGTAACTGGTTTTTACTTTGATATCTCAAACAAGCATACGATGAAATCGAGAAGCATTTCCTACTTTTTACCCTTTAATCTTTAAAGTTGTTGTTTTCTGGATTTTTTGAATTGTGAAATACCTCTGGGGTAATGGGCTTCAGCATTCAAATTAATCTTTTAAACCACTGAACTAAAATTGCCGGCTGGCTGTGCTTCTTCTTAAGTTTCTGATTATGTCAAAGTAGCATGCATCACGAAGTATTTGATATTGAGGAATCTGGTCAAATATTACACATAACACCAGTTTGTACATAATGTACTTAGTTCAATTGTTAGGAAGGATGGTGATGAGGGTTCTCCTTTCTCTCTATCTTTCCTGAGCCGAGGGTCTTCCAGAAACATCCTCTCTACCTTCTTCAGGTAGGGGTAAAGTCTGCGTACATTCTAACCTCCCCAGACGGCCAGACCCCACTAGTGTGATTATACTGGGTTGTTGTTGTTGATGGTGATGAGGGTTGTTATATGTGTTGTCTAAACTAAGGTTGTTATGCTTTTGTTGCTTATGAATTGGTGTCAATGTTTTCCTGAGAATGCTGTGTTTAAACTAATTAGCTTTGTTTATTGTAAGTTCAACTTATACCTGTCTAATTGTTTTCTCACACCATTAGTGATGATGAATATTTGGCCTTCAAGAAAATGCATGAATTTTCCACAGTGGATGGCTTTGTAGAGATAACCAAATCCTTGGCCGACATGATAAATTTCATTGCAAACGAGCCTGCGGCAGGGCTTATCTACATTCAACAGCATACCCAAAAAGCAGTGCCTAACCTTATTAATCTCAATAACAATGTTGAGGAGAAATCTCGTCAAGTGACTTTGCACACAGCGGATTCAGAAGATTCTATCATCATTGTCAGGTCAATGAAAGAGTCTGGCTTTCCAATTGCTAATGAAATGATTAAAGATCTCAGACATTCTCTAGCTGTCATGTCCAAGAAGCAGCCAAAAAGAGGATTTATAAGTAGATCAAGTTCAAGTTTCCGGATAGGGAGAACTATCTCTTGGAATCCTGCTACTTGGGGTCATAATACAGGTCCAGAACAAGACGGTGAGAGGAATGCTGGTTATATTTCAAATATTTTCAGGTCGACAAAAGAAAAAGCTAGTAGCTTCAAGTGGCCTCAGTTTGAGTCCATAGAATCTAAACCAGCCAAGAATGAAGTATCTTTATCTAACAAAGATGAGCAATCTGTGACCTGTTCTAATGATGTGCTGTCAAAGCCAGACGCCAGCTCTTGCTCGAGGGGACAAAGATGAAAAGTTTTCGTTGGCAAGTCAAACTGCCGATGAGCTACAAGAAGTGCAGGTAAACAAAATCATGTCCCTTGATCAAATTCTGTCTTTATCAGAAAATTAATTATGAGGAGTTTAGATTGAAGGAGAAGCAAAACTTGACGAGTGGTCGGGAGGACGGGCAATCATAATGTTGGTCCTGGAGAAGTTAATTAACAGTAAAGGGCTTTCGCTTGATATAGCTTTGAACCTGAAACAATTCTTTGATGAATCTTTGTTCTAAAACAGAGAGATTATCATAGTGTTCGAAAGAGAAGGGAAAAAGAAGCTTGAATCTACAATTTATTCTAATTGTCTTTGTACCTTGAGGAATCTATCTTTGTAAATTGCTTTTAGTAAATTGCCTTTTCAAAAATAAATTGCTTTTAGTTTATTCTCTGGATCGTTGTTTGACTGTCAGCTTCATAGTTCAATATGATAAGAAGAACCCTAAATCCATAAGCAGCTTATGCCATTAATCAATACTCTTACCCATGTAGGGGTAAGGTCTGCGCACACATTATCCTCCCCAGACTCTACTTGTGGGATTACACTGGGTTTGTTATTGTTGTAATCTCAAGGGATTGGCCCTGATATATAACTTGCTTATAGAAACTTAGCATTTCCACACAAGTAGCTGCAATATGTACAATTTTACACATCATATTTTCTTGAAGTATATAGGAGCAGTTCAACGAACAGGAGTTCCTTTTGCATGTGACCTTACTTTAACTTGCATCTAAGGTCACTAGAATTCCAATTTATATTGCATATTTTCCACTGCAATGAACTGCTACTCCATCCAACTTATGTCACCAAAGGGTGATCTTTTAACTTGATTTATCAAGATTTATTATATATCGGCATCAAACAATTGGTGTAACATGTGCAACCATATGGTTGTGGCACGAATTACTCTTGTGCGCCTACGTTATTCAGTTGTGCAAGCCCGCCTCTTATGTTGTGGAAGAATTGAGCTTATTCCCAGCTGGTTATTGGAAGCTAGCAATTGGTTGTAGCATTTAGTCCCGCAACTAGAAAAGGATTGCTTCGGGGTAACTATGGTATGACTTAATGTCAAGCAGCCGATGTTGCAGCCTTTGATCAGTAAATTATTTAAAACCATATGTCATTTGAAGAACTAAGGGAAGAGATATTGGGATATTATACAATTTTTTTTAAGTTAAAAAAGAGTTTAATTTTACAATATCAAATTAAATTCCTCCGTTATAACAAGTAATTTATCTTATTTCTAAGATTACAATTTACAAATCTCACTTTTTAACAGGGATACCCGTCGATATCTTTAGGGTGATTTAGTAGTACAAAAAAGACCTAATGTTGTAAAAATATGGTATCTGTACATTTTATGGATCGATATTGCTTTCAGTTCACTAATTTCGTTTCCCCTCACTCGGACAAGAGAGAGAGCTTCACCAAGAAATTGGCACCACCTCACAATTCCAGAATTCCTACACTAACTTCCTAAGACTGATATATACAAGGGGATTACAAGGCCAAAGAATGCCTCAAAGATATAAATCAGTGGAGTTCTTGCTTCCACTGGTTTTAACCCACTGATAGAGATATGTAATATGTACAGCGCTTGAAGACGATGAGTAGGGAGCAAATAAGTTGAGCTGAAGATAGCATCCTTAGCTGCTGCTAAGCATTGTCACCTATAACTAAATCCCAATTACCTGCAAGCCACAACATCAACGTCGAAAATCAGATCTATGTTAACTGTAAGTTTTTCGCACTGGCATAAATCTGGGTGCTTCTAATGCTAATTTGCTATGACAAGAACTAAGAAGAGTATAATTGTAGAATATAAAGATGCTCAACTACTGTAAGATTTTAATGAGCAAAGAGAAAAGATGGGATAAAGATAATTACCATAGAAGAGCCAAGTAATGCAAAGTTTCTACTCCCACAACATCCATGTTTTTTTTTTTACCAACAACCAGAATTTGCGCTGGGATCCGAAGCACATGTAGCTGTGGTATCTTGATAAGTATTTGATGCATGGATAGAGCCAGTACCATTAGCCAATATTATTCCTCCAACACTAGGATTCGGAGGGGTAGAACCAGTGACACCAACCCCAGACTTATCACCAATGCTTGAATTTGGAAGCACAGATCCATAACCACTACCCGGTGGTTTAGACCCAATGTTGTCATTTACGAGAATATGCGAACTTGGAGGAAGTGCAGATCCCTTATCGCAAGCTGGTAGAGACGCCAAATTCTTATTTGCCAGAGGCATAGAGCTAATGCTGCCGCCGACTACATTAGTTCTGATATCCCCAGCAGATAAAGTGGTTCCACTGCCTCTGCCAACTATTTTAGCCTTTCTGAGAAACAAGTTTAAAAGGGGGGTCCATGAAAAAACTGAAATTTCAGTCTGAAAAAGAAAAAGAAAGGATATACTAGAGGAAAGAAATAGGAAAGAGGAAGCTAAAGAGAGAGGTAACGACTCATACCTGATTATTTTTTGCTTGAGAGTGGTTGCTCTTGACTTTGCAACACCTTATTAAGCACAAAATATAAGAAAATATTAGGCTCAAGAATGATATATGCCACATCTGCAAAAAGAGAAACAGACAAAGCTGCACATGCTCCCCCCCCCCCCCCCC